AAAAAAAAAAAAAAAAAAAAGGAAAAACGGTTTTTTTCTATTTTAGAGACAGGGTCTCACCCTGTGGCCCAGGCTGGAGTGCAGTGGTGCGATCATAGCTCAGTGTAACCTCAAACTCCTGGGTTCAAGCAATCTTCCCTCCTCAGTCTCCCAAGTAGCTGGGACTACAGGTGCACACCACCAAAGCCTGGCTAATTAAAACAACAACAACAACAAAACTTTTCTAAAAAATAGAAATGGAGTATCCCACCGGGCGCGGTGGCTCACGCCTGTAATCCCAGCACTTTGGGAGGCCGAGGCAGGCAGATCACGAGGTCAGAAGATCGAGACCATCCTGGCCAACACGGTGAAACCCCGTCTCTATTACAATATACGAAAAATTAGCCCGGACGACGGCGTGGCGGCGCGCTCCTGTAGTCCCAGCTACTCACGACGGGAGGCTGAGCGGCAAGGAGAATGGGCGTGCGAACCCGGGAGGGCAGAGGCTTGCAGGAGCCGAGATCCCGTGCCCTGCACTCCAGCCCGGCGCGACAGAGCGGACTGCGTCATCAAAACAAAAAAAAAAAAAAGACAACTGGAGGTTCCCCATGTTGCCCCCCAGGTTGGTATTAAACTCCTGGCCTCAAGCAATCCTCCCCATCTTGGCCTCCCAAAGTGCTGGGATTACAGGTGTGAAGCCACTCTGCCCAGTCTGTTAGCTATTATCATGCTGTAACTTTGGTCAGGGGACTTCTTGAACCTCAGTTTCATCTGTAAAATAGAGATAGTAAGATACCTCATGGCGTGATTGTCTGATAGAAACTTTTTTTTTTTTTTTGAGACAGGGTCTCGCTTTGTCGCCCAGGCTGGGGGTGCAGTGGCATGATCTTAGCACAGTGCAGCCTCAAACTCCTGGGCACAAGCAATCCTCTCACTTCAGCCTCCTGAGTAGCTAGGACTACAGGTGTGCGCCACCATGCCTGGTTAATTTTTTCATTTTTAGTAGAGATAAGGTCTCACTATGTTGCCCAGGCTGGTCTTGAACTCCTGAGCTCAAGCGATCCTTCTGCCTCTGCCTCCCAAAGTGCTGGGACTATGGGCATGAGCCACTGCATTCGGCGGAAACATTTTTAATACATGTAAAGTTGCTTAACTGCAGTGAGCCTTTAGTGAGTGTGGTTATCATCATTATGGGAGGCTCATTCACCTCTCCATGTCTCAGTTCCTTGTCCATATCATGGGCTAATTAATTAGTGCTGATCTTAGAGGGTTGGTGGAGGGACTAGAACAGTGCCTGGCACACACAAAGAGCATTTAGTATGCACTGGACTCTGTTCTAATGGCCTTACGCATTTTAATTAATTTAAACCTCAACCAGCCCCCTAACGTGGGTACTATTATTATCTCCATTTACAGATGAAGACATTGAGGCCCAGAGAGGCGGAATCACTGGCTCCAGGTCCCACAGCTGGGAAGTTGCAAAGCTGAGATTTACCTGGGCAAGTCCCTGAGCCTGAGCCCATGACGCTGTGCTATGCTGCTTCTCTAAGGGGCAGTGATTGGTATTCCGTGTCTTCAGATAAAGATTTTCACCTGTTGGAGGCTTTTATAGTCTGGCTTACAAAATGGGAAGAGTCAACCCAAACTTTCAGAATTGTGCAATGGATACAATTAGATCGTGTACATCAGAATGCTTTCTGGATGGGGCCGGGCGCAGTGGCTTATGCCTGTAATCCCAGTACTTTGGGAGCCAAGGTGGGTGGATCGCTTGAGGGCAGGAGTTTGAGACCAGCCTGGCCAACATGGCGAAACCCACTGCTACTAAAAATAAAAATAAAAAATTAGCCAGGCTTGTTGGCACACACTTGTAATCCCAGCTACTCGGGAGGCTAAGACATGAGAACAGCTTGAATCTGGGAGGCAGAGGTTGCTGTGAGCCAAGATCGCGCCACTGCACTCCAGCCTGGGTGACAGAGCGAGACCCGTCTCAAAAAAACAAAAACAAAATTCAAACTTCTTCGGGTAGCCTACAGGTCTGCTGTGACCCAGCCTTGCTGACCTCTCCACCTCACCCCGCTTCCCATAACTCCCTCATCACACCGCCCCTTCCTGCCTCTGTGTCTCCATACCTACTGTATCCTCTGCTTCCTTACCTTTGCAGAGGAAGCTCCTTCCTGTCTTAGTTTGGACATCACCTCCTTAGAGAAGCCTTCTCAGAACACCCCAGCTAAAACCACCCCAGCATTCAGCCAGGGACAATTTACTAAATCCAAACATGTAATGGTGTTCACAGCCCTTGTTGCTACCAGAACTTACTTTATTTATTTATTTATTTATTTATTTTCAGTAGAGGCGGGATCTCGCTATGTTGCCCAGGCTGGTCTCTAACAACTCCTGGCCTCAAGTGATCCTCCCACCTCAGCCTCCCAAAATGCTGGGATTACAGGTGTAAACCACCATGCCCATCCCAGAAATTATCTCAACCATAGGTTTACTTTCTTGACTGTCTCCGCTTCATTACAAGTGGAGCTCCATGAGAGCAGGGCAGGGGCAGACACAGCCCTCCCTCCCTAAGGACAGACTGGGGTCCCGTATGGAGCCTGAGGGACACCAGGAAATGAAGTTGGAGTCCCTGGATAAATGAAGATTCTCTCTGCCCTCTGGGCTGTGATACCCGCTCCCCGTAGCTGAGACTCCTTTCTCCCTTTTTTTCCCTGGCTTGCTCCTCCACGTCTGCAATTTGGGTGCATTCCCCATCACACTCCAATCACTCTGGCCTGGACTTTCCTAGCCAGACTTGCCTCTGAGAGCGAAGGGGCCTGATCGAGGACCACAAGACCCAGGGGGAGCCACAGGTGCACAGAGCTGCGCAGATCACTCTGCTCACCCCTCCCTATGGCAGCCATGACCGCTCTCGGCCGTCACTGTCAGATGATGAGTTGTTTCCCCCCCAGGATGGAGAGCTCAGCACAAGGTGAGGCTCAAAGGAGACACCACGGAACAACTGAGATGAAATCAAATACTGGGTGGATAGTTAGGACAGCAAGCAGACAAAGGGGACAGACTGCACTCTGCCCAAGGATACAGTTCCAAGGGATTAAGGGGCTAAGTCCCACCCCCACCCACCACGCCAACACACACCCCAGCCCCTGACCTTCTGGCCATCCAGCAGCACGCGGTCTCCCAGGCGCAAGCCCAGTGCGCTAAGCATGAGATTGCCTGGGACGTTGTCATAGTTGGGTAGCGTGACCTTGGGGAGGGCGCAAGATAGTGGCACTGCCTCTTCCAGAAGCGTCCGCAGCTCCTTGGCCACCAGCGCCGCCTCTGCCTTGTCCAGGGACATGTCCATAGGATCTGGGACCACCTCCGCCGGCACCTGTCCTTTTCGATTCTGGGGGCCAATGGGAAGAGGGGGCGGGGACTCAGTGGCAGAGGCCACACCCCCATGGAGGCCCTGACCCTAGAGACCACCAGTCTGGGTGATGCAGGGGTAGGACTAGGTCATACCCTGGGCCAACCTGGGAATAAGAAGGGGCAGGGCAAGCCGGGTAACATGGTTCACGCCCATAATCCCAGTACATTGTGAGTCCGAGGCAGGCAGATCGCTTGAGGTCAGGAGTTCAAGACCAGCCTGGTCAACATGGTGAAACCTTGTCTCTACCAAAAATATAAAAATTAGCCGGGTGTGGTGGCGTGTGCCTGTAATCCCAGCTACTCAGGAGGCTGAGGCAGGAGAATCCCTTGAACCTGGGAAGCAGAGGTTGCAGTGAGCTGAGATCATGCTACTGCACTCCAGCCTGGGTGATAGAGCGAGACTCCATCTCAAAAAAAAAAAAAAAAAAAAAAAAAGAAGGGGCAGGGCAGAAAGGTGCAGACCACATCCCCAGGGAAACCCACCCCTGAGACCCAGGGCTGGGGGTGTGTCAAGTAATTGATGGTGGGCCTGGGGGTGTAGGCAGTAGGGATGAGGGCCACACTTCAGTGCTGCAGGTTACGCCCCCAGGGAAGCAATCTCTGGAGACCCCAAGCCTGTAGTGAGGACATGTGGGAGATGAACATTAAGAATGGGTTCCTGTGGGCCAGGTGCAGTGGCTCATGCCTGTAATCCTAGCACTCTGTGAGGCCGAGGTAGGCAGATCACCTGAGGTCAGGAGTTCGAAACCAGCCTGACCAACATGGTGAAATTCCATCTCTACCAAAAATACAAAAAATAGCCGGGTGTGGTGGCGCGTGCCTATAATTCCACCTACTCAGGAGGCTGAGGCAGGAGAATCGTTTGAACCTGGTAGGCAGAGGTTGCAGTGAGCTGAGATTGCACCACTGCACTCCCGCCTGGATGACAGAGCCAGGCTCCATCTCAAAAAAAAAAAAAAGAGAGAGAGAGAGAGTGAGAGTGGGCTCCTGTGGTATATAGTCAGGAGTCAAACTCTGGGCCAGTGGGGAATGGGGAGAGGCAGGGTCTCAGGGGCACAGGCCATGTTCCCCCAAGATACTAGTGCCTGGACAGCTGCAGAGTAATTAGCATTGTGGATGGAGCCTGGTAATGCATGGGTTGGAAATCAAAGATCATATTGAGGGCTTAGGAGGGGACCAACCCTGTCATTCACAGAGGGCCTAGCCTTACTTTCCTCATGTCCTTGAAATGCTGTTATGCACTGCCATGGGGTAGGCTGGATGACCCTGGGCAGATCCCTTAATCTCTGCCTCAGTTTCCCCATTGTAAAATAAGGCTTATAATAGACTTCACCTGACATGTAATGAACACTAGGCAAATTTCAGCTGTTATTGCATTTGCTGAATGTACAGACATTTGTAGTATCTGGGAAGTCACGGGAAACGCAGAGACCTGCTGGAGGGAAGTGGGGGAGGACGGGAGCAGGAGGGTAACGGGTTCTGGGCAAGGGTGGCAGTACCCTCAGTGCAGGGTTGGCGCCGTGCTCCAGCAAACATTTGGCGGCGCCCAGGCACAGGCTGGAAGCAGCGATGTGCAGGGCTGAGCCGTGGTTGAAGTCACTGCACGTGGAGTTCACCACTGGAAGTGGGCAAGAGGAGGGGTTCCGGGTGAGCACCTGTGGGACCCCAGCCCTCCTCCTACCTCGGGGCTCATCTCTTAACTTGCAGGTCCCAGAGCCTCCGACGCAGAGCCCCGCCCCCACCTCGGAGCCCCACTCTCCCTTCGCGGCCCCGCCCCTCCCTAGAGTGGTAGTCCACTGAGCCCCCTCTCCCACGCCTCCAACCTCCCGCTGTCTCCTCAGATCGCCATCCTCCTTTCCCTCGCAGCCTGGCCCTCACCTGGGTCTCTGCATCCCTCACCCAGGTCCTTGCCCCCTCTCAGCCAGGGCTCTCCTCCTCACCTCGTGGCCGCGCGCCCTTCAGCAGCACACGCACGAGGTCGGGCACATCAAAATAGGCCGCGTAGTGAAGCGCGTTCATGTTGGTCCAGCGGCTGCGCAGGGTCACATCTGCGCCCAGCGCCAGCAGCTGCTGCGAGAGGCGCACGGCTGCCGCGGGGTCCCCTGCGCGATAGGCGGGATCAGCTTGGAACCCCCATTCCAGAGCATGGGCCCCGTGTACGGGGAGGGCCCTGCGCCTCAGGGACTATACTTTGGGATCTGAGGCTTCGGGTTCCAGATGGGGCCTGAGTTCTGGGTGGTTTTCAGCGTGTTGGGTCTGGAGGCCTAGGTTTTGGGGCTCATGACTTGGGGGTGGGGGCCCTCACCGACTCCGTGGGCCCCAGCCTTGCACGCATAGTGGAGCAGTGTCATGTCGGTCAGCCCGTCACGATCGTTCACATGGCAGCCCCGGCGCAGAATCTGTGAGTACCAGGGGAGCAGGGAGGGTCACCCACACATGTGGGGAACCGCATCCCCTCTCTCCCTGGTTTCCCCAGTGTTCTTACCTCATTGCCAATGACATCTATCTTGTGCTGGACTTGGGGCACCCACTGGCGCACAATGGCAAACAGCTCGGGGATGGTGGTCTGAGGGTCAAACAGGATCTCCTGGCACGCCGGGTCATTGGGATCGAAGAAGGTGAAAGCTGGGGTGGCAAGAGGTCCAAGGTCACCCCACGCAACTGACCCCCTCCTTCCAGCCTCAGTAGGGGAGCTCTAGGTCTTTGCCTCTTAGAGCCTCTAATGCGGGATCTCAAGCTGGTGGCACATGGGCCACAGTCAACCCACAGGCATTTTCTGTGTGGCCAGCATGAGGTTTCAAACTCAGGTGGGTTCACATAAAAATCTTGATGCCCAGTGTGTCTTGAAAAATTGGAAGATCAGGCAATTCCCATATAGCAGAAACTTCACCCCCTGAAACAAAAGCCGGACAGAGTGCAGTACCTTGGAGTCTGCATGTCCAGGGGGACTGCTACTGACCTCACCCACTGTTGCCCTGTGAGAGTATGAGTGAAGTTTGGCTGAATCCCCAGAGCAAAAATAAATAAAGCCAGAAGTCCTGGTTTTTAATAAAACTCTCTCAATTGTTTCAAATACCATGTAGCCCACATAAAATGTATCCATGACTGGGCACAGTGACTCACATCTGTAACCCCAATGCTTTGGGAGGCCGAGGCAGGAGGATTGCTCGGGCCCATAAGTTT